GACTGATTCATAGCTCCCTAAAATTGTCTGTAAAGGCAAGGCAGACTTCTGACAATAGTCAGCTGATTCTGAATCTAGCAGAAAGTATGACAAGATCCAGGGTCTAAGCAGTACAGTAAGACATTTAGAACAGAGGCGTCACCACTTAGGATAAATAGCCCTCAGGCCAGTGTGCCAATTGTTTGCCACTAACTTGGGTTCAGAGGACTTTCTAGATGAACCTCAATGGCTTGACCAAAGGAAAGGCTTGATTAAGGAATTGCTGTGTGACATTGTGGCTTCTGCTCTCTGTGTCAGACTAGATAACCTGGTTTGGAATAATTTATTTAGCTGGTTTTACAGTGTTTACAAGGAGCACCTGGGTGCAGCCAGGGTGTGGAGCTTTGCCTCGTGCTGAGTCAGGGCAGTAGCTCTTCTGCCTGTTCTCACCCTCAGTAGTCCCATTCAAAAATTCAATGTGTGTTGTGTTTTGTTTTTTTTTTTTTTTTCCTCTCATAGAATTATTGATTTGAATCCAGAAGGAATGTTTTTCTTCCCTTATCCTCTGCCCTCCATTATGGAGAGAGCTGGGAAATGTTTGATCTGCCATGGGATAGGAATCAGTTACCAAACTCTTCAGGTGAACAGCAGTGAAAGGCTAGTCTGAGTGTTGCTGTTCTGTGCTCACTCAGTCCAGTGCTTGTCCAAGGTGCTCTCAAGCCTCTTACAGTGAACTACTTCTTACTGTAACTCTCTAGAGGCTGGTTTCAGCCATCACAGAATTACTGCTTTGCCCCTGTTCTCTCCCTCATACATGAGCATTCAATTTATCTCCCATTTCCACTTCGTCTTTTAGAAACACCACCATGATCCTCCTTTGTGAAATGGCTCTAAAGGGACGCTGCTGCTTGCTTGAGAAGCTTTGAACTGCCTGGGAATCTGATTCTGGCATTGGCAGCGAGATACTGAAGAAACTCAAACAGCAGCTTTTTTCCCCTCAGGAAATTAAGAGGGAGAGTCGTCTGCTATTGACTACGCTTTTCATATGTTCATACTGTAATGAACTTGATGAGAGCAGGTGTTTTTTCATGTGGCCAGTGGCTAGTATGTTAGCTGCTGTTTGATTTCACACATTGTAGTGGCAGGGGGGAACAGAGGATCTGCTTTTACACTCTTAATTTGGGCAATGGTGGCACACCAATTTTTTGGGGGGGGTTTGTCCCGCGTGCTTTTCATCGTACAGTTGAGATAACATATCTCTCACCCCTGAAAAATAGGAACAGTGGCCTCCTGTGCAGTCAGGGATTTGTGTGCTTGCAGGGCTTTAAGCTGCAGTTTGATTTTTTTTTTTTTTTAAATTGTAGATGTTAATGGGGAATCTGTTGGAAGGCTTCAAATGATTTACAGGTTTTATTTCTCTGGTTCCTTATTATCTAACTCAAAATGTTCAGCTGTTGGACAGGTGTATCATCATTTGAGATGTCCAGTTCTGTCATGTGTCTTTCCAGCAGTAATGACCAGTAATGTGGCTGCGGCTTGGTTAGCAGTCAAGGTTATTTTGTATATAAAATTGACAATATATTTTCTCTGATACAATGCTTAGCTTTAGAAGACTAAGATCCAAAAAAGTCAAACACTTTTTCTAGCATTCATTTTTATTAACGCAAATTAACTTAACAGCAGAATAGATCTGTGCAATAAACAGGTGTCACTTTTACATGGTTACTCTTCTGATTATAACAGTATTTAAAAATCTTGCGACTATGGGAGTAGGATTAGAACGAGGTTGAATTTCGGGTAGAGGATTTAAATGGGATTTAGAAACAAAAACTTAAACCGAAGATGTTTTGAAGCTAACTGGGAAAATTTAAAGTAAAACCCTGGATTTTCAAGATTCCTTACTATAACTGCTCTGAAATAGTTGACACTTTACGGAGTTTGTGCTTGTACACAGTGTTTAGAAATGATACTGGATCAGCTATTGTCTTTTTATTCAGTGTGTCAGATTTAACTGTAGCTGGCAACTAGGACCATGCAGCTGCTTGCTCAATTCTCCCCCCCAGAGGGATAGGGAGGAGAATGAAAAAAAAGTAGAACTCGTGGGTTGAAATAAAGACATTTTAATAGGAAAGTAAAGGAAGAAATTATAATATATACAAAACAAGTGATGCACAGTGCAGTTGCTCACTGCCTGATGACACCCAGCCCATCCCTGAGCAGCAATTGCTGCCCCTGGCAAACTCCCCCACGCTTGTATGCTGAGCATGGTGTCATATGGAATAGAATATTCCTCTAGCCAGGCTGGGTCAGCTGTCCTGGCTCTGTCCCCTCTCAGCTTCCTATGCGCCTGGCAGGCCAGCATGAGAAGCTGAAAACGCTTGATTACTTAGCAACAATAAAAAACATCAGTATGTTATCAATGTTCTTTTCATCACAAATCCAAAACAGTGCTACACCAACTACCAGGAAGAAACTTAACTCTGTCCCAGCTGAAACCCGGAAACATTGCCGTACCAGTGCTATGCAACTGATGTACCATTTTTTTTTTCCCCAGTGTTTAAACTGCAAACTCGAGTCTGTAGGCCTCTGTTATGTTACCTAAATAAGCTGAGACCTGGTCAGGTATCATTGTGAAAGGTAGCATCTCTCAACATGAAGACATTCAAGAAAGTCAACTGCAGTGGTTTTTGAGGTTTCTGAAGTGTCCATTCTTCACAGGTAGTTGTCTGGCTGTTAGGCTAAGGGCTGAGATTTAATTGCTGCTATTACCCTTAGTAGTGGAGTCCTTTGGTGTTGCAGTAGAACATGTGGTTGTTGTGAAAATGCTGTCAATCTGAGATTTATGTCTTTTTTTTTTTAAAGGCAGCAGGGGGGAGAAAGGGTCATGGGATACCAGTCCAAGGAAGATAAGCATTCCTTAGCTTATTTACAAAACTACTTTGCTTTTATGGATGTAATCTGCTTGGTTTGTCTAAATGAGTGTATGTAACTGAGAGCTCTCCACTGAGGTGACATGACCATAACATGGTCTTAGTTCATGCATCTATCCTAAATTTATATCAGTATATTTTTGGGACAACTCTACCATGTACTTTGTTTTCTGAAGGCTTAACTGAAGGACTATCAAGTCACACTTAAATTTTTTAAATATTGGGTACACTGGACTTTTTTCTGTAATGTAACATGGAATAACATCTCTGGGTAAGATTTTTAGAATTAATGCTCTGATGTAAAGACAGCTTCTTGTGCTGTTGCAAATGCAATAATGTATCTGTGATCAGCAAAGATAAACACTAAACACAGAAATCTAAGCAGTTCTATCACACTCGTTTTGAATGTGCAATTGATTAGACTGAGCAATAAGAAATATTTTGCAACTTGATTATTGCAAATTATATTTGTAGTGCTCTTGAGTAATTTGTAATCAATTTTGTGATATATTGAGAGAATAAAAACGCAAGTGTGCAGATAACAGTGACAGTGACTTTAATAACATGGGTACATGAGATTATTGTTGATTTTGGCTGCTAAAAGTGAATTTGCTTGAGGCAAAATGATTGATTTGCACTTTAATAAAACCCAAGATAAACACGTGGTACTGTGTTATAATTGCTCTTAGATCATGTTTTATGTGATACTCAAAGCCTTTTAAAAAGACTGTCATTAAGTCTCTGAACAAACTCTGCTACCTTAGGGGATCGAAGCCAGCTGTCAGCAAGGGGGAATGGCTGGCTTAGCTCTGAAGGATCCCTAATGAAGGGGATGGCACAAGCATGCCATCACTTTTCTGTATGGAGAGGGCTGGAACGAAAAATTGTATTCAATGAACTTTGGAAAAAGAGAATGGACAGAATTATATTTACAAGTGAAATAAAAAGGCAGTTTCTGAAGTGATCTCTTTTCATGGCTTTTCAGAAATCTATTGAAGGAGCCATCTTTAGCTTATAGTAACATAGGTGTTTGTATACCATTTCAAGATGCTGGAAGTATTGATGCGCACACTCAGCCACAACTGAAAGTGTTTGCTAGAAAGGATTTTGGAACCTGTGGCTACACAGATGCCTGTATGATGATTATTTACTTTTGTCTTAAGGGAAGTCAAAGGCATCCCGAATTTCATCCAAATGCTGACAACTCTGTGAAAGCTGAGGCAAAGGCTGTAATTAGGTTTATTAAGCTGGATGAAACTATAGTGCCACTGAACTAACATCTGCATAGATGTTACTAAGACCAGTCTGATAGATCGGGGTTTATCTACTCTTACTCTGGAGGTCCACATCTGAACTAGTTGTTCTAGTTTCTTTCTGTTGTAAAGGAAGGAACTGGGGAACTCTAGATGTTTAGTTCAGAAGTAAAGCTTTAAAGTTAAACAAGCTGAATCTTGTGCTGTGTACCATTTGGCTTATTAGAGCCTTCATCAAATGTTCTTAAGTCCTTGTCAATACATGAGGAGCAAGCATGTTGGATCTTGCTCCTACTGTCTAGGTTGACATAGTAACAGGAGAGAGCTTGAATCTATCTGGGTAAGGTTTGTTAACAGAAGAAGTCAGTGTTGCATTTTTCCAGCCGTGTTTACTGGACAGAATGCTCTCAAAATGCGCACAGATGCTGTTCTCAAGCAGCGGCTGTGGAGTTGGGCCAGAGTGGTCTTTCCACATCTCAGCTGGAGTGCAATGGGACAACTGTTTAATGGTAGATAGTAAATGGGATTTAACAGAGGGTGGAATGAGCTGAGGCACAACTACAGCATCCCCAAACTGAAGTGTTCTTAGCTGACTACTTGTAACTTATTTTTCCTCCTGAATTGCAGCTAAAGTAGTTGGAGTAGGAGAATAACCTTTTCTTCGGGGAGGGAGGTGAAGGGAAGAAACAAAAGATAACAATACCAAAGTGACCTCCTCACTCTGAAGCATGTAATTGTGATGCGTCTGGGTTGGGAGTGTGACTAAGATGCTGGATTGTAATAAAAGTGGTGGGTGATAGAATGAGAAATGAAATGCCTGCTGTTTTTTATCAAACAGGTGCAGTGCCATACCTACACTGGATACTGCTGGTGTGTGACACCTGATGGCAAGCCTATTAGTGGCTCTTCTGTACAGAACAAAACTCCTGTATGTTCAGGTACTGTGGGAGTAGCTTCAACAAATACTAATTTGATAACTGAAGAGGGCTGGGGAGAATGCGTCCTGTTCGGAATGCTTAATCTTTTCAGGTGACTTGGCCAGTTTACCTGATTTAACACTGCAGTTGTGCTTGTATCCCCCTGTGTGCTTGCTGGCATTTGGAAGCTGCAAGGGAGCTTGGACTGTGGCATGTCCACCCTGCGATTAGGGTGCAGACACTCCTGAAGTGCTCTCTGAGAAAAAAACACAAAAGTAACAGCCTGTGGTAGCCAAGGCAAGAGTCGCAGTGTTGCTGTGTACACCAAAACCAGAGATTCCCGCAACAGATAGGATAACTTTTTTCTCATGAGCTGTATTTTAAAGAAGTGGTTCTCAGCTGTAATGAGTGGGCCGTGGAGTTGTTTTGCCTGCAGAGTGACTTCAGTTAAGTTTGATAGGGTGGTTCTGTGAGAAACTGGTAGTTGTTGACTACTAGCCCCCAGATCTGGGATTGTGCTGTTATAATGAATTTGGGTCTTCTGATCATGTTGCTCAGTTCCAGGATCCCCGTGTTTGTGTCATGGGGTTGAACAGCACTGGGCTTGCACCACAGCTCACAAGAGGGAGGTTCAGAGCCAGGCTGTTACTCATGGGTTTGACTGACATGCGTCTGGGCTCTCGGCCTGACACTGCTCTGATACCCTATGGTTTACTGGGCACAAATCCATCATTTTCTGTACTTCAGAGTGGTGATGGTTTTTCTTCTCCCCACCATCCAATATGGCAGCACATGGCTCAAATGGGAGGAGGCTGGGCTCTAGATTTTCGTATGGCCCTGCAGTGTTTGCCCTTTAGATGCAAGCGTGACAGCAGTCAAACTTCGGGGTTTTTAACCTTTCTGACCTTATTTAGTGCTATCTTGACTGTAGGGTGTTTTGTGGTAATAAGCAAACACAGTGACTTGCATGAGGGTTTGAACTGAGTGGGAGAACTGTGTTGGAACCAGTGAGTCAGTGTAGCTTGACAGGATTTTTGGTGTTTCATAGGTACGTGGAAAAAAATAAGATCAATGTCCTGTTTTTGTGTAAGGTGAAATGCTACAGTAATTTGGCTTAAATCTTAGAATATGACTTGCTTCTACCATTCCCAGTATATGGTTTTGGTAGGGTGTGTTACTAGGAAAGTAAAGTCATGGTGTATTGTAGGACACACAGATGTTAGTCCTATAATGACTAATGCTGGGTACGTGCTTCCTGCTTGTAATTCAGCAGAAGATCTGTGATGAACTGATCTGCAAGTGGAAGTGCCTGGGTGATAGTTTACCTTTAGAGTTTGTCTTGACCAGACTCATGTCAGAGCTGCCTCCTTTGGAGCTGACTTTTGATCCATGTTTCCTGAAGCACCAGTAATCACTGAAACTGTTTAGTAATGGTGCATGGAAGAATCAGTTTCCTGAGAGTAAAGCTATTGAAAAGAAAAAGGTTTGTCATAGACTTTTATACACTTTGGTAATGGATTAGTTCAAAAAGCTTTTACTATCAGTTCAAGTTTTAGTGGAAAACTGTGTGATGAAGCACTAAAGCAAAACTGCAGAAACAAGTGTAGAATCATATATATTGTGTGAAGATCAAAGTTTTATATTAAAAAACCCAAGATGTGTTCTATTGAAGTACATGCTGGATCTTGTTCAGTGTCCCTTTTCAAACAGCTGGAGATATTCAGGGGTTGGTTGAAATCCATTTTCTGCAAGTTGTCCCACTTAATCCCTTTCCTTTAGAATACTGCTCTTTGCATTCCCTGCACAGTCTCCCCACCTGTTTTTGATTTGTTCTTCCTGACATTTGCAAATGAAAGAAGTGACTCTTATTGATCTTTCCTTCTTACTCTTGGATTTATTCCAGGTTTCTTACTAGCATACTGCTCTGAACTCTTTCAAATCACTGAATCCAGCTACTAAAGATTTCTTGTTTACCCTTAGCCCAATTTAACATCTTAATGCATATAACTTCCTTATGCTATCCCACTTGGTTGAAGCCACAGGCTCTGAGTCCTAAACTGAGCTGTTGGCAAGTAAAACAGCCACTTTGTGGGTTGAGATACTGACTGTATTAATATGACTTTACATGTTCTGTGTGATTGTGCAGCATCTAAATAGATGTCTTTTTTCTTTCTTTTTCCTCCCCTTTAGGTTCTGTAACTGATAAACCATCAAGCCAGGGTAATTCGGGAAGGAAAGGTGAGTGGAGTCCTGTGCTTCAGCTACTTGTTTTGTAATAGCAGCTGCCCAGCCAAGTCCCTTGAGAACTCAGAACCCAGGTTCCTAAGCAGCTCAGTGCGTGGGAGGTTTATGTGCCTTTAGGCCTCCCCCTTCAGTAGGAGGAATAAGATGACAGTTTGTTCATGTACCACCCTGTGGTGTAGAAAACAGTGCGCTCTGCTGTGTGCTCGTTGGCTGAGATGTAGTACATGAAAGCAGAGCTTCCCAAAGGGGCAGCTGGCACAGAATAACCTCTGCTTGTTCACCTTTAAGTTAACTACTGAGCATTTCTCAGTAAAATCCTTGGAGATTAGGAATGCTATCAATATTAGTACACTGGGAGCCAGGAGCGCCAATGTCACTGTTGTGGCTTTATATGCATTGAAAAGTGAGTGTTTTAACAGACCATAAAACCTTCTGGTCAGCTGGAGCAGTGCTGGATTAAACCCTAGCTGTGCTTGGAAACCTCACTCTTTTGTGCATAGGTATTGGTCCTCCTTTGCACTGCTTTCTTCAGTCCTTGCCTTTCCTGAGCAAGGCACTAGATGTGGTGGTGTTATCCTGCGTGTATTCGTAGCCCTTCTTTGTGTCCTTTAATTGGTATTCATTCAAGTAGTCTTGGGGGGGTGACCACTGAAGTATATGTTGATGAGCAGCCATGTTTGACTTTAGGCCTTCTCCACATGCTGATTTTTCAACCTTTCTTCCCTCTACCCCGCATTCAGAGTCAACTTTTGAGTTTGTCTCCTTACTACAGGAAAACAGCCCTGAATGCATCCTCACTCTTGCTAGTGAGGATGAAGGCGGTTTTCTGGGAGAAGTTCATGTTTTGATATCTTAAGCAGGACTTTTACTGCTAACTCTCCAAAGCAATGATTCCTGACACTTCAAAACATAGGCAAACGCCCGGCTTGATTCCAGTACTTTAATTTGAAGAACATCTGTACTGGGACTGTCAATCCAGTCATGAAAATACTTAACAGGAATTTTAGACCGCCATGTTCAAAGCAGTGCTGCCTTTTGAGCATATCTGCTCTCCAGTCTATAGGTTGTGTGTAGTAGCTTAGGAAAAGGTAGGGGGAAGAAAGGTGCAAAGAAAACTAGTTAGGTAAGACTGCTGAAGGCTGCTTCTTATTTTAGATATGTATGTCTCTAAGTGTGTAATTATGTGTTAATGTAAAATTGGCACCTGAATGCATTGTTATAATTCTGTTAATGCAATCATTGCTAGTCTAGCATGAAGTACAAACAAATCAAGTAGCTCTTGAAATCTGCATGATTTATGAGTGGGGGTTGTTTGTAGGCTTCCTACCTGAGTAGTGCTGGTCTGTTCTTCTAGAATTGGAAGCAGCTGACATTTGATTTCATAAGAAACAGGAGCAAGAAGAAAACATCTGAACTTGTTTTTACTACTTTACTCCCTTTATTAACTCAGAGGTTGGAATGTGCAGAAAAAGAACTGTAAATGGAGTGAATTAATCTAAAATTTGTAACATAAATTGATTCTCCTTGGTGCTGCCTGTGGCATTCTGTTTCAAGCATGGTACTCTTGGTCACCTGGCTGCAGAAACATCCTATGCAGTCAAGAGAAGGAAAATGTTTCCCTTTGGGCCCAGCATGCTTCAAGCAATCACGTGAACTTTCTGTCCCCTCCAGTTCTGAATCTGTTCATATCTGTTGGAAGCCCCTGCACAAGCCACTTGGCCTTTCTCAATCATGCTAGAAAAATACTTGTGAACAATTATTAAATAAGTCGTTTAAGATTAGAGGGCTTTTAGAAGCTGAATTATTTTGGTTTAAAATTTGATGGACTTGACATTACTTTTTCGGCCAGTGATGAACGCCAAATCTAAAAATGAATTTGGCTTTCTTATCAGTGTGTTTTCTTGACTGAAGTTACTTTGATTCAAAAGTATTGGGTCCTGTTGCAAGGAAGTTGGAACCAAGAACAGCCTAGCTTCCTTGAAGCAAGTTGAGCGCTGGAGGTCCAGATTCTCTGAAGACTGGTGGCTAGCCAGCGTGTATCTAACCATCCATTCTAGCTGAGTGTTCAGACACTTT